AAAGGCAGTCTGAGGATCAGTTGTGTCTCCCTTTCCCTAACAGCCCCCAAGCAGCACTTTCAGATCTCTCAAGTGCAAGGCTGGTGCTGCTCCTGTCTGCGCTTTCTGTAGGAGTGACCTGCCTTGTGATTACAGCACTTGAGACCCCAGCTCAGCTCCACAATGTGCCAGACTCCTACCGAGAGTCACTTAACTCTGTATTAGAGGTGCCACTCTAATACAGAGGGTAATAGCCACCAATTCAGAAAAGCATTGTGTGCAGGCAGCAACGTAAACAGAGAAACCACATAAATACCCAAGAGAGACCACAGTCCTGCAGTGAACACATCTCTCATTCCCCAGCAGATGCTAGCACAGTGCAAAACCTGTCATCTATCAACTCCTGTTCCTCCACTGCCCACAGGCCATCCACACCCTGAGCAGTAGGGCACCCACACCATGAGCCAAGTCCCTTCTTGAGACGTTAAGCAGGACACTCTAGCCCTGATTGGTGCCACCTTCATTGTTCCTGAGGGCTCTATAAGGCAACAGTGTTAGCTACCCCACTTCTGACTGAGCCCACACTTAGGGTCCAAAATGAGGAAGATGTTCCCACTGGACTATGCTCCAGCCTTAATTGCTACAGAGAACGTATCCTGGCCTGTTTTGCTCCTTCTGCTTGCTTCTAAGGTACCAAGACAAGATAGAGCCAAACAGTCCTCTGCAATGAGGTTTCACAGCACTGCAGGTAGAAGGAAAATTCAGTACTAGGGAATATCTGTGTTGAGTCCCAGCAAAAAAACATGTCGTTAGGCTACTCTTCCAGCCCCCTTACACTTACCCCCTCCCAGATGCCACCTGCAGAAACGGGCACCTGAACTCAAAGAGCGATCTGACACTTCATCAATTCACCCACCCAGAGATGCTAGCATCTGCTGCTTGAGGCAAGGGGGTTGCATGGAATCCCTGAAAAAAATTTCACAACCCTCTGGGATTCCAGTGGTTATGCAATTTGGCTGCTGTCAGGAGGAAGTCCTGAGATTTCTCATAGTCTAAAAACCTCTTGCTTCACTGCACCTACTCACATGAGTGCAGTCTGCCTCTCCAGCCAGCTCAGAACTGGGGACAGTATCTCAAAAAAAAAAGGACATTTTGTCAAGGTACTAGTGCCTGTGTTCTCTCCTTTTCTGGTGACACTTGTGTGCTATAGTTCAGTGCTCCACCCAAGAGTTGGCTGCATTTCAGCATGACATGAAGTGATTCTCATAGAACTGTCAGCAGCTTTCAGGATGACAGTATCAGCAAGCAAGGGTTTTGTCACACATATGACCCTTCACACCAACTGCATGTCTTCTCTACCTGTTGCATGGGCCTTAGAGGGCATCAAAAGAGCATCCTTTTGTGGACACTGGCAAGCTGAGGCTGCAGCAGTTGCACTCCTGTCTGTTCTGACAGCTCCTCTCCATCCCTTACCCACAAGCACCAAGCCACCTTCTCTCCTCGCTGACATCTACATCTTTGCCCTATGATGCTGCCTGGAGGTGAGGTAGCAGAGCTGGCCATCACTCTATATTTGGCCACTGCTTACTGGAGGAAGCAGACAGACCATCATTTCCTGCATTAGGCTGGCCTGAGAAAGCAGACAGCACCAAAAGTTTAGGGACTACCTGGTCCCATTGGTACCAAGGTGGAAGCAGCCACAGCTCCAGTGAGCCCCTGCCAGGCTGATCTGAAAGCTGAGAAGAGAAGGCTGTAAATATGCCCTCAGTGGGCAGGAGGCTGCATGGTACCCATCACCCAGTGAAGCATCCCCAGGTGTTGAATCCTCAGTTCAGACATCCTGCCAGATGAATTCTGCCAAACAGTGAATATTAGCATGGTCTCTACAGCACCATCTCTCTGGGCGTAGCTCAGGGACCTAACCCACCCCACCATGTATGGAGAGGTGAGCCAGCCTAAGGCTGTGGGAGGAGAAGCAACCTTGCTAGAAAAAGCAAAGCTGCTTTACCCAGGACTGTATCTCAAAGAGGGTGTGAGATAACATGTAGGGCTACTGCTTAGGGACCTTCGGAAGAATGAAGGAAACTCTCTTGTCCCTGAAGTTTATGTGTCCAGGCAGAGCTCGGCTGAAGTCTCAGTGCTGATTGCTCTGCTCTACCCTCTAGGTACCTGGCCATCTGCTATCCGCTGCGCTCCCGGGAGCTGCGGACCCCCCACAACGCAGTGGCTGCCATAGCTGTGATCTGGGGCCTCTCCATGGTCTTTGCTGGGCCCTACCTAAGCTACTATGACCTGATTGAGTGGGAGTCCAGCTACATCTGTATGCCTGGCTGGGAAGAGTGGAGACGCAGAGTCATGGACACCAGCACATTTGCATTCGGCTATGTCATCCCAGTGCTGGTCATCATCCTCTCCTACACCAGGACCATCAAGTACCTCTGGACAGCAGTGGACCCCATCGAGGATATATCAGAGTCCAAGAAGGCCAAGCAGAAGGTAACCAAGATGATTATCATTGTAACCATCCTTTTCTGCCTCTGCTGGCTGCCTTACCACGTAGTCATCCTCCGATACCTCTATGGAGACTTCCCCTTCAACCAGGCCACCTATGCCTTCCGCCTGCTTTCCCACTGCATGGCTTATGCCAACTCTTGCCTCAACCCCATCGTCTATGCCCTGGTCTCCAAGCACTTCCGCAAAGGCTTCAAAAACGTTTTCAGCTGTCTCTTGAGGAAAAAGCACAACAACAAGGTGCATGTGGTGCACTCTTCCCACATTGTGCCTGGATTTGAGGCAGGCTCCACTTAAGTGTCCCAGATGCATGAGGAGAATAACAGGTACGAGCTGAATCCAGCCTCCATGCCTCCTACCCCACTTGCATGACTTCTGACACTTTGGAATTGCCTGCTCCCACACTCATAAGGGATCGCTCTTAAAAAGTGACCACCATTCATGGGCCCAAATATATTCAAAAGCAGATTCCCAAGGAACCTTAGTGACTGGTTCCTTCAGCAGCCCAAAGCCTGCTCTCCTCATAGCCAGTGCTGAAGTTTTGCTGGCAGATTTCTCCTATCACCAATGATTTGAAACTCATGGTCACTGTGACCAAACCAGCCACTAATCACCACTTCACCACATATCTCTCTCTGTTTACAAACTACAAATCTAGGAGGCATCTTTCCTAGTTGGCTCCCTCAGTACCTGCACCAAGAAGTTATCTTCAATGTGCTTCAGAAATTTTCTGAACCTGTTTGTGTTCACTGTATGATATGCCCAGTTGATATCTGGGAAGTTAAAATCACCCATAAGGCCGGGGCAGTTGATTTAGAGATATCCCTTAATTCCTTGTAGAATAATTCATCAGTGTCGTTGTCCTGGCTGGGTGGTCAATAGTAGACTCCCACAACAAGATCTGCTTTATTTGCTTTCCCCTTCATCCTTATCCAGAGGCTCTCAACCAAAAGCCACTCCAGCTGGCTGAGAAGCCAAGGAACGCTTGATCCGAGAAACATATTTCTCATTGTGACTGATGGTAACTCACAACAGCCAAGCTTTATAAGGCCGAAATCTGCAAGTTCAGGACACTCCTGCAACACAGGCTAACACCTAGGCAGTCAAAATTTGGAATAATTTACCACTCCTTCCTTGCTGTGCTCAAAATAGTCCAAACAACTCTCCTCACTAACTCAGGGGCTACCTTACCTTTCCAACAAATGATCCCAATATTGCAGAGCTGGGCAAACACTGTGGTAATGCATACCTTCTTTCCAGCTCTAGGACTGGGAGCAAAATATGCCTGGGCCTCAAAACCAGCCTGCTACATTCTCTGCACACTTTCCCAGTCCCACTTGTCCAGCATTGCTACCAACTCCATTGCAGGAGTTGGAAATCCCATCTATGATCCCTGTGGTGGTTTTACTCCTTTGGTTGAAGCCAAACACAGTCACTTTCTCACTCTCCCCCTGCCCCCAGAGACTAGGGGACAGAAACAGAAGGATAAAAGTAAGCAAATTCATGGGTGAGATAAAAACAATTTACTAATTGAAATAAAATAATGATAAGAACAGAATATGGCCACCAGCCTGTCCCAGTCAGCGATCCTGGGGCAGAGACAGTCCCAAAACCAAAACCCCAGAAGAGCGAGAGCCCGAGTGATCCCCAAGAGAATCCCCCTGATTCCAATCAGCCCTGGTTAATATACTGAACATGACAGGATATCATATTGAATATCCTATTGGCACATCCAAATCCAGTTTTGGGTTTTGCTATTTACTATGCTTCTCCCTCTCAGTCCTTTGCACTTGCAAACTACCCAAACATGATGACTGTATTGGGTTTGCATGGCAAGGTCTTGGTGGTGGGCAGGGGTAGTGCATAGGGGTGGCTTCTGTGAGAAGCTGC